ATTGTTATATCGTTTCTCGAGTGTCTACTAGTTACCTTCTTAATTTTTTCGTTTTATCTTTTATATAACCCATATAGTTATTCAGTGTATCAAAAGTCAAAAATATTGAAAAATATTTTTATATATATCCCTCTCCATTCTCATAAATTTACGTGTTGGCTTTATTTAAAAAAATGTAAATAGTTTTTTGTTCAATAAACCATCTTTATTTTTAACTATGTCAAAAAAAAAAAATATATATTATATTAAAAGGCTTATTTAAATTCAAAAATATTAAAAAACTTATAAAATTGAAAATATTGGCTTTCTCAGGTGACAACATAATAGATAATTCTCGTTGACTTTGTACTGCATATAATACACAAGAGACGTACTAAAAATCGGGTGGTTTGCGTTTGGACGAGTTTGTATAAATTTAATTGGGTTTATGCTATTAGGCTAATGTATTTAAGCTAATAACTATAAAATATTTTCATATTCTTGAGCAATATTTCGTTAACATACTGTAATTCGTAACGGTCAATGAATTTTCATACTAATTTAATATAATTGGGTCTGCCTGTGAATTTAATGGGTTTGATTAAAAATTCTCTGTATTTTTTGTATTATTGTTATTAAAAATTACTAATCAAGTATAAAAATAATATTATTTTAAGTATTATTATTATTTTTTTTTTTAAATCCACCATTTGAAAATCTAATAATTGGCTTTATTTAAATTTACCTTATTTTAATCATATGCTTATGTTTTATACTAGTCGACCATAATTTTCTTAGGACTTAGATTGAATACAATTGTTTTTCGTGCTTGAAACATACATTTGTAGGTGTTTTCTTTTTTTTATCTGGCAATAAAATGTAAACAGACAACAACACATTAGAATACTAAACAACATGAATTGTATAAAATTGATTGAAAAAAATTTAATTCGTTCAGTATTAATACCACTATTATATAGCAAAAAAAGATTTCCATCGATAGTTTTTATCATTTCGTCAGATATGATAAAATTTAAATAGGTCGACCCGTTAGACAATTGTAATATTTACTTATACGTACAGTTTACATGTAAATATATATATATATATATATATACATATACGTTAAATAATCCGTTTTAGTCTATTTATATTTAGGTAACTGCATAAATGATTCAATAAGCATTTGACTAAGTGCTAAATCTATTATCAATTGTGTACTTATATGATGACTGTTGTTACTAGCTATATCTTTTAGATTATTAGGTGTTTTTTTTTTTTACCTCAATGCCTTATAAATTCGGACCGTGATTATGGTCAGTGTTTTTTAATATTTTCCCTTCGCTTAGGTGAAGTTGTCTGTGACATTTATTTTTATAATATTGTTTACATTTTTATGTGTATTTTATATCACTTTCTTTCTTTTTTTTTTAAAAAAGTCATTATAGCAAAGCATACCTTTCTCTTTCTCAGTTTTTAGTATTTCAAAACCCATAATAGAATAGTTTTATTAAAAACAAACAACAAATGAGCATACTTGATAAGTACAAGACAGTTAAGATGACGATTTGACAGTTGTCAAAAGACTGAGGCTAGCATTGGTATAGTTCGGAAATTATTTAATACGATAACACGCGATAAATTGACGTTTTAATAAAATGACCACGGTGCATTTAGCTGCGATGAATTGACATGATACCATAAATTATTCACCAAAATTTACTATCGTGTGAAATAATTCTAGCAACACTTGGTGATCGCTAAAAAAGTATTTCACTGATATAATTAATTTAAAGTTGTAACGTGTGTCTATAAAAATCATAATATTAAAGAAGATAAAAACTTGAAATGGAGTTTTAAGAAGTAAAAATATTATATATTACATAATTTTAAATTTTTACGGATTACGAAAAATTATTAATTCTTAATAGTAAGAAAAACCGATTATCTCCAAATTTCACCACTTAAAAACATTATAAGTAATTTACAGTAGGTTTTTAAAATATAACTACTACGTATTAAAATAAATATAATATGTCAAATCCACTAAAATTCAGATTTTTTCTTTGACTAAACAGATAAGTAGCTTATTAGTCTATTTGCGGGAGTACCTGAAACTAAGAATACGAATAAGTTTGACTAACTGTAGACTGTAATGTTAAACTGAAACTCGACATTTTGAGGAACTACGGAATTTTTTTCAAAAGAAAAGCAAGTTATTTTATGTATATCCTTTTACCACTAATCCTTCCATAGTAGTTACAATATGTAGGATGATGCTCACACAGTGTTTTTATTTAATAATAAATGTTTTATTTATATATAATATGTGTATAAGCTTAAATACTGTATTACTAAAGTCTTGACATTTTTATACTAATTAAGTAATTTTGTGTGGTGGAATAATAACTTTTATTCTCCAATAATTGAGAACTCCTTCCCCCATTTTGCTGTAAATTATTTAGTCGATAATTGTTTTAAAACTGTTGAAGTCTAAATTAAAATTCAGATAAATGGTTTCTCAGATATTTAAATGTTTAAACTGAGGGTAATGGTGCTTAAAAATGGATTCAATAAACATTTAAATTAATCTAATAATGGATCTAACAAGTGTTCATTATTTTTTGATCATTTTTACAAATAATAAATGTATAATTTATATGTGTATATTCAAAAATAGTGAATCTTTCATTACTATTCCTTAATTTTTTTATTGCAACTAATTATTTACGATTAAATGTCGTGACTCCCTTAAAAATAACATAATATTATAGCCATTTATCAATTATTATCGTTATGTAAATTTCAAAATTGGCATGGGCAAAGTATATTTTTATTAAAATTTAAACTTTCTCCATTAATCAATTTTTTAAACATGAATAATGAGTTAAAATTTTTCTTTTTTAACAAATAAACATACATTCATACGCTCTATATTTTAAAAGTGTAAAATCGAATATTCGTTATTTTATGTGGAAAAAAAACTAACTCGATAAGGATAATTTAAAATTAAATTAATTTAAGTTAAATTATTACTTATTCGCAAGCTTAATCGATATATTAAAAATGCCAGTTGAACTGTATAATCAATCCAAAAATATGGTTAACTGAATTTAACCGAACTGAAAAATATCATAACCATCTTCGTGTAATCCCATTATCTGTAGAGATACAGTTATGTTATATATCGTATACGTATTATGCGGAATATTTTCAAACACTGCTACTAGGAAGTAAATCATTTTTATTCAGTTGAAATCGATCTGCTTGTAAGTAATTAGATTTTTCAATACATGCTATATCATTGAAAACGAATACAACCTACAGCCGGTTATTTAACGCGCATTGCGGGAATGTCATATTAAAAAAAAACTCAATTTCTAAAACTCGATTTGTAAAGGATTTGAATCAGTACATAATATTATAAAAATGTATTTTTCTGTGTACGTTACGTCATATTATCCATCAATACATCGTACATGTAAGTAAACCGCTGAATTCGGTGAAAAACATATTTTTCTGCAAATTGTCTACCCAACGGCTATAATATCGATTCAATGGAATATATTCGCCACCGTATTTCAACATACATAATAGACCTTGATTTTGAAATCCGATTTGGAAACCCTACACTGTTTTGCACTGACTCGACGTGATGTTTTCATTTGTTGTCGTAGCAATAACCCTACTGTTCGTATTTATGAATTTTTCTCTCGAACTGCATCCAAGTAGAGTATTTTTATTTCAAAACCATCAAAACCTCTATCGACTCCCACGCAGTCCTATTCATTACAGTAATAATTCAAAACACTAATTTTACCATATGTGACATATGAAATATTTTATTTCAAATACATTTTTATAACTAGAGCTCAAATATATATGTATTTAAAATCTCAAAATTTATAAACATATTCATATTTATTAAAAATGAACTATCAACCTGCAGTCGATAAGAATATCCCCAACAAATACAATTTGTTATCCATGTTTAACAATATAAAATCGATAACATTGTGAAATATGAATTTTAAAATTGTTTGCTGTGCAGACATAAATTTAAACCACTACAAATAATCGCTAAAATGTAAGCTGTCATACATTTCAATGTCACTGTATTCGCATAAAAATCAACAAAATTAATTGATATGGTTTTTTTTTTTTTTTTTAATTAGAGCTTTTACAAAATAATTTATTCGTATAACTGTAAATTAATTTGAATAACTAATAAAATAATATATAATAAAAAATTTGGCTCATTTTATTCAAAATCTTTTAAATCATACTTACCAATAATAATTGTCAAGTTAGTAAATTTTACTTAAGAAAAGGTATATATTAAGCTCTTTATCGGTTCTTCGTTTATTTTATTTATTACATCCTGGTTTGAGATTATTAATAATATGCTTTTACCTGAAACTACTTTGGTTTTTCAGCTTGATGATTGAAACTTGAGATATATATATTATACTAAAGAATTACTGACGTACAATTGTGGACAACTTCAAGCTTATTGCCAAAAATAGTTGATCGTTCGACCAACGTATGGACATAAAGGCATTCGTATTTCATGTATAGGAAACGCTAATTCCTATTTAAATGATTCAATTGCAGTTTTTAAACTAATTAAAAAGTTTTTGTAGATTGCATCAACTGGTGCAGATGTAATAAAAACGTCATCAAGAACAATTCGTGGCTGAAACGCAAAACTAATACAGGTATCAGCTAGGGCTACCGTCATGTAATGAGAATCCGACACCCACATTGAATTTCCAATCCTATTCGATCTCTACAGCTGTGAAACTATTGCACTAAATCAAAAATAAAGTTACTAAGTATTTTTTTTTTACGCTATGATGAATTACAGCATGACAATGGTGTACACTTTAACAAGTCTCACGAGCCGCAGCCTAGTTGAACGGAACGGGAAAAAACGTGTGGAAACAATTATTTACACAATATAATAGTTTATTTTTTTAGTTTTATTAAACAAAAAAAAAAAAATCATTATCAATCGATCGTCTAATTATAATAATATCACGAATCGTAATAATAGGAAGTACAACTATTTATCCAAGTCAATATAATGTGCATGCAACTAAAATGCTATTATATAATATTCAGACTAGATATTGAGTGCCAAACTGCACAAACTAAGTATAATTATTATTATGTTATTAGGTACAGTATTAATGGTATTAATCATTCATAAATTATAAATTACGATTGAGGTAACTATAGAGTAATATAATTATAATATGTACTATAGTTCACTCGTGTAGTAGTAATAATAGTGTTTATTGATGTTTAAAAATTCTAATCAAAAATATTTTATCTCCATGATGGGATGAAATGTCCAGCAAGAAAATAAAATTCACTCCTTCTTGCAATGGTAACACGAACAACTCAACGCTGATTTGAACACCAGTTTTCTCACGCCCTCCAAACAACGGACGTTTACTTCGACCTGTAATCAAAATAATTGGTTGCTATTAACACATCATCGATTAGCTGTTAACCTGGAACAAATTACTTAATTCGTCAACAACAAAAATTGACGGAATGATAATTTTATGATCACACGATATTTATAAATTTCATAATGTATGTATCATAATGGTATTTAGTACGACTAAAACTGTTTAATACTTCCTACAAGTAGATTAAGTTTTATACATTTTTTCGAACATAGTAAAGTTAACGTTGCTCGTTAGTAACAATTATTATTCAATTTGTCATTATTACGATAAAATATTATTAATACTAACATCATCATATTGAACTCTTATAGCATGTACATAAATATGAATTCACTTAACTAGATTATACGTGTATAATATTAATGCTTGGCAAACTATTATGTCAACAACGCTTTCTAACGGAATTAGTCCTAAGACAAACTTCAGTGATTGAAATTCAATTTGCTCCACTTAGCTCTGTATACTTTACTAAAAACGCTTTATAATCCGCTTTAATGCAATATTATGTTGATTAATTATATAGACGGTACCACTCAGGTAACCACGATACCTAAATCGCCATTAGGATTTTTTGTCTTAAAAACAAATAATTTAATAATTTTTGCATAAGCATAGGTTTATGAACAGCGAATTTTATTATAACTTATAATGCATGCGCTGAAAACAGTGGTGCATCTGAAGATACACCGAGGACCAAGAAGGAGTACGATTTAAATGTTTTTGTATAATCCTTTATTTCCTCTTTAAATAATATCAGCTGTTTTCATGAATCCAGGTTAAATACAGAACAACTAAAACAAAATGTCATATGAATTAATAACGGTTCTTAGTGGTTATTACATTATTGAAGTATTCTTATTCGTTGAATTTTCGTTTTTGCTCGAAGTCTATGTAGCATACACGTGTATATAAAATTATGTTTTATCGACAGCAAAAATGTTAACTATAGTGATCGCGACATGGCATTATTTACAACAACTTATATTATAAATATAAATATTCAAATCGTACTTAAAAAGAGTCATATTTCAAAGATCACCTTATGAATTTAATTTTCTATACATTAAACTCGTCCAAACCTCAAATACCTATAAAATAGAATGTTATATCGTAAAAAAATTAAACTTAATCAACATTATAATCGAAAACAAAATTCAAAATATGGAAAATTTAATAAAATAATTTTAAAAAAACTTTAAACGATACGACAAGTATAAAAATTATTTTCCTATCGAAAACGCAAAAATTCAGTTGTCTTGAATATATATATATATTAGTTATATTATTATATATTCCTAATTCCTACGTGTACATCCATAGCATACTTAGTCCATTACACAGAATTATTATGAATCACAACTAATAGATTTCATCAAACTTCGACATGCCTAACTACAATTTATGGTACAATAGTACAATACGCCTAATATTATAAACAGTAAGCACGGCAATAAAACAACAAAAATCAATTTATATGATTAACGAGCTAAAAATATAGTTAAATATGTTGTTAAGCGCATTATGTACGTGTACAAAATAAGTTACCTCTACTACTGATCGATAATATAATATTATTATGGTATATTATAGGCACGTATGGTATATTATAATTATACCTGCAACAGATCAGTAATTGAATATCAACAAGGTACAGTGTATAAACGGTAATTTAACACTTCTAAACGCAATTGATATATTAATGTGATGCTACTTAAAATAAAATATTATTATTACTCTCCTCCCTTCGACTAATATGACAATATGACAGTGCTGAACTGTTGATATGATGCAGTGTACGCCTAACACACAAATGTATAATCGCTGAATTCATAACTTTTTCAACGATACTGCAACACTCTTTTATGATTTCGAAAACTATTATATTTTTAAAACAATATATTTCGTGATATACAGTAAGATCTCATCTAGCGAACACTTCCAAATAGTAAAACAAAAAGCATTTGGTAGTATTTTCAAGTAGCCCACGTACCTTTTAATCATAGTAAATATCATAAAAATAATCTATTTCTTACATTTAAAAATATCTTATATTAATCTAAAAGAATAATTTTATACTATAACATCCGATAATCTGAATACATCGTTTTCGAGGGCTCTTTGAAGAAATTTTAAATATAAGAAAAATTAACGATAGTTTGTGTAGATCTACATAAATCAGGTATCGTCTCCTTTAGTAGATATAATTATCCACAAATTTCCATTTAGGTTATTTTTCTGCAACATCTTTCTCGATTAAAATTAATAAATTATTGACTAAAATATTCTATGTCTTATCATAAATAAAACGATAAATGGTGTTTATAGATCTTGCATTAAAAATCACCATATTTTAACATAAATTTGATGACCATGAAAAATGTAAAAGTATTTATCATATTTTATAAGAAAAGACAACTGATACCATACAAAATATAATTAACAGTGTAATAATAGTAATAGAAGTTTTATTGTCATACACGCTATAATCATATGAACAAAAACATAACAATATTTTGTACTTTTTTTTAATGTAAACCTGGAGATAGTGGTTTTACAAATGTTTAATATCAACCAATTAGAGTCAACAAAATATATCGATGCAAATTTATAATGATATAACAATGGTATTGCATACCAAATACACAGGGTAAATTTCTTAGAAATACATTACTTTAAGTACAAACTTTTTAATATATCTACTTTCGATTGAATTTTTTAAAACTAAATCTACTTGTAATGCATAGATATATAATAACAACATTCAAGTACTAATAATTAGATAAGTTAAAGGAGCAATAGGTGGTCGTCTTGATCCTCATCAAATGCCATTTCAATGGTTTTGACGAAACGCATGTCCGTTGTCTTATTGTAACTCAATTTTTATTCAATAATTTTACGACAATATAGTATAAATTATACATACAGAACGATTCACTACACATGCATGCTCGCCTCTTTATTTCTTCAATGTAACAATTAGTCAACATTTTTATTATTTTTTTTTTTTTTTTTTTTTTTTAATATACTTTAAAATCATATCGTCAAATTCTTCAGATTTTTTAATACTTAAGAAATGTAAAAACTTCTGTTTTTAAATTAAAACTCTCTTCTTTTTCCTGTTTTTTATTATAAACTATTAAATGAACATTTTTATAAAAATTATAACGTAGCAAAATCAAAATTCAAACGAATATTTTTTAAATTATTCAACTGCGCGTTTATAAAAATAGGATTGAACACACTTGATGATTTATCCTTAAATCACTCAGATTTTATGACATAGGGTATAACAAACTAAAATCGTGATATAACATCTACTAGACGTTCTCTACTACTAATGCAAAAACATTGTGATTAATTTAACAGATTTTAAAATATTTTTTAAACATTTTTTGTAGTCAATCTATCAAAAGCGATAACTGTGTCTTTTAAAAACCATAATATTTATTGGTTTTTATCTGTTACTTATATTTTAATCTGTAGAATTTTCGACGCATACGAATGTCATCCAATCGTATAAAAAACAATAATACAAACAAATATTTTTCAGTTGAGTTATGCGAGTATTTTAAGCGCAATTTAAACATAGGTTACGAGTTCGTGGCACTTAAAGTATCAATTACGAACACGATGTAATAAAAGGCCGCACGCAAAATTCGTATTAAATGTTTTAGAAGGCATGCGTTTTGAGTAAATATATCTTCTTTCAACCCTATCGCTAAGTCGTTTCTTAGCTGTTTTCCCATTCGAGTCAAATAATATAACAGCTAGTTTGTGCAGTATACGTCACATACTATTTCATTAATCGTACTTCTACATATAATGGTAGATGTTTGATTACAATAGTTATAATCTTTTTTTTATTATTTATTTAATAACGTCTCAAGTATTTATCTTCATAACTCGAAATTTTGTAAAAAATTGTCTGATATTGCATAATATTGTGATATTAATAATTTAACATTTATTACTGAAAATAACAATTTTTTTATAATACTTAAACTGTATAAGTATATAAAAAAATTACATCAAAGCGTATGCCATCGTAAAAGGTAAGTTTTAAAATTCAAAAAATCTTTTATGTTCTAAATAAAAAAAAAATTGTTTATTTTTAGATTTTATTTAAAATTACCTATTAAACTTATATAAATATCCTCTTAGGATTTTCTCTAAAATACATTTAATAATATTTGAAATTTAACATCACTTTAATATTACATACTTGTACAGCGTGCTTAACTATAAACATAATATTATGTATGCCTTTATGTTTATATATATTCCTATGTGACACTATTAATCATTTTGTTACTAACCGTGCAATAAAAGATATATCAGAGGTTGCGCTATATTATAACGTCTTGTTATAATTAATTTTGTTTTGTGTAATTAAAATTACAATCATCTAAAAAAAAAATAAATATTTTATTCCACTTTTCACGTTTTCTCTTTGGACCCGAGTATTGAATTCATAATTTTTACAGCGATTTGCAGTATATTTATACATTATATACCAATTTTTTAATACAGTTATTCGTATATATTTATAATAAACTATCACAAGGAAAACGATGGTTTATTTATAACAAAAATTAGCCGTTTAAATAATAATTCTAATATAATATAACACATGATATTTCAAAATCTAAGAAATTTCGTATTTTAAATTGGGAATTCACGTTTTGACAATATTTCATTTGTCTTACTCGTGGACAAATATATTCTATCTTATAATAATATATTTCTTGCCTATTAATACTATTACATCAAAATTCAAATCTCCGTTCAAGGAAACGTATTCTCAAATCATAACCTTCATCGATAAGCTCTAAAGTATATCTATTTACTGATTTGAGTCTATTCTCTCAAAATTAGTTTAATCGACAATACGAAAATACTCGGTTAGTACATTATTAAGTTAGTTATGTTTTTCTGTATAAATACCATAAAAACCATCCATTGTATTATTATGTTAATAGGGCAGTAA